ACTCTTTGACAGGGCTTTTGTATTTTACTCTAAAATTCAACTCTTTTTATATCAATTAATAAATATTTTTTTATTTAAATAAATAAATACTGAACTTTCGCAGGGCTTCTATATTTTGCTCTGGAATTTTAGATTTTTAGAATTCTCAATTTCTGTACCCCCTCCTTCTTCCTGCATGCCTCTATTTATAGACTTCTTGGATGAATAGGATGATGACATGTGTCCTTTTCTGATAATGACATAATAATAACTGGGCCGGGCCGGTTATATTGTGATAATTATCCATAACAAATAACTAAAAATAAGAGTTTTATATAGAATGTGATTGATTTTATTAGGTAATTTTTATCTTTTTATAAAATAGGTAATTTGTGATTGAGTTTTATAGAAATTATTTTATTTTCTTTAAATATATCCTGTCTAATTATATTTAATTTTACTAAGAAACTCCTTATAAAAGCTAATTTATGGTAGAATTTTAGAAAAATTATTTTGTTTTATATATCAATTAATAAATATTTTTATATTCATAATTCTTGTCTAATTAGATTTTCTTTTATTAAAAAATTCATAATAATAAATAGATAAAAGCCGAGAAAGTAGTACAACATTTGATCTTAGCCAAAAGACCAAGAAAGGTTAGCCAAAAGGCCGAGAAGGTGTGATTATTATTTTTTTAGTTCTTTAGTTTTATAAGAGGTTTTCATGTAATCTTTTTTATTTAAAACCGATGTGGGACTTTGTAATTTGAATTAAACTCTTTTTATATTTTTTTAATTTCAATTAATTTTAATTTGAATGTGATTGGTTTTATTAGGTAAATTAGATTTTCTTTTATTAAAAAACTTGTAATAAATAAATACATAGGTAATTTGTGTTAGAGTTTAATATAAATTCTTTTAAAAACTCTTTTTATATCAATTGATAAATATTTTTTATTTTAATAATTCTTGTCTAATTAGATTTACTTTTATTAAAAAAACTTAAAATAAATAGATAAATAAGTAATTTGTGTTTTAAAAACTCTTAAAAACCTCTTTTTATATCAGTAAATAAATAATTTTTTATATTAATAATATTTGTCTAATTAGGTATAATTTTATTAAAAAACTCATAATAAATTAATAAATTGGTAATTTGTGTTAAACTTTTATAGAAACTCTTTAAATATATCTTTGTTGATAGAGTTTTATTGATAATAAAATATGCAATTTGTAATAGAGTTTTATTGAAATTATTTTATTTTCTTTAAATATATACTTGTTTAATTAGATTTAATTTTATTAAGATTCATAATAAAAGATAATTTATGGTAGAGTTTTATAAAAATAATTTTATTTTATATATCAATTAATTAATATTTTTTATATTAATAAATCTTGTCTAATTAGATTTTCATTTATCAAAAATGTATAATAATAAATCGATAAATAGGTTAATTTAAATTTTATTATGTAGATTTTACTGTTTATATGTATATATATATTTTTACTTGCAATAAATAAATAAATAGGTAATTTGTGTTAATTGATAAATATTTTTTATTTTAATAATTCTTGTCTAATTAGATTAACTTTTATTAAAAAACTCAAAATAAATAGATAAATAAGTAATTTGTGTTTTAAAAACCTCTTTTTGTATCAGTAAATAAATAATTTTTTATACTAATAATATTTGTCTAATTAGGTTTACTTTTAATAAAAAAACTCATAATAAATTAATAAATTGGTAATTTTTGTTAGAGTTTTATAAAAACTCTTTAAAAATATCTTTGTTGATAGAGTTTTATTGATAATAAAATAGGTAATTTGTAATAGAGTTTTATTGAAATTATTTTATTTTCTTTAAATATATACTTGTTTAATTAGATTTAATTTTATTAAGATTCATAATAAAAGATAATTTGTGGTAGAGTTTTATAAAAATTATTTTATTTTATATATCAATTAATTAATATTTTTTATATTAATAAATCTTGTCTAATTAGATTTTCTTTTATTAAAAATGGATAATAATAAATAGATAAATAGGTTAATTTAAATTTTATTATGTAGATTTTATTGTTTATATGTATATATATTTTTTACTTGTAATAAATAAATAAATAGGTAATTTGTGTTAGAGTTTAATATATATTCTTTTAAAAACTCTTTTTATATCAATTGATAAATATTTTTTATTTTAATAATTCTTGTCTAATTAGATTTACTTTTATTAAAAAACTCAAAATAAATAGATAAATAAGTAATTTGTGTTTTAAAAACCTCTTTTTGTATCAGTTAATAAATAATTTTTTATATTAATAATATTTGTCTAATTAGGTTTACTTTTAATAAAAAAACTCATAATAAATTAATAAATTGGTAATTTGTGTTAGAGTTTTATAAAAACTCTTTAAAAATATCTTTGTTGATAAAGTTTTATTGATAATAAAATAGGTAATTTGTAATAGAGTTTTATTGAAATTATTTTATTTTCTTTAAATATATACTTGTCTAATTAAATTTAATTTTATTAAGATTCATAATAAAAGATAATTTGTGGTAGAGTTTTATAAAAATTATTTTATTTTATATATCAATTAATTAATATTTTTTATATTAATAAATCTTGTCTAATTAGATTTTCTTTTATTAAAAATGTATAATAATAAATAGATAAATAGGTTAATTTAAATTTTATTATGTAGATTTTACTGTTTATATGTATATATATATTTTTACTTGTAATAAATAAATAAATATGTAATTTGTGTTAGAGTTTAATATAAATTCTTTTAAAAACTCTTTTTATACCAATTGATAAATATTTTTTATGTTAATAATTCTTGTTTAATTAGATTTACTTTTATTAAAAAAATCAAAATAAATAGATAAATAAGTAATTTGTGTTTTAAAAACCTCTTTTTGTATCAGTTAATAAATAATTTTTTATATTAATAATATTTGTCTAATTAGGTTTACTTTTAATAAAAAAAACTCATAATAAATTAATAAATTGGTAATTTGTGTTAGAGTTTTATAAAAACTCTTTAAAAATATCTTTGTTGATAGAGTTTTATTGATAATAAAACAGGTAATTTGTAATAGAGTTTTATTGAAATTAATTTATTTTCTTTAAATATATACTTGTCTAATTTGATTTAATTTTATTAAGATTCATAATAAAAGATAATTTGTGGTAGAGTTTTATAAAAATTATTTTATTTTATATATCAATTAATTAATATTTTTTATATTAGTAAATCTTGCTAATTAGATTTTCTTTTATTAAAAATGGATAATAATAAATAGATAAATAGGTTAATTTAAATTTTATTATGTAGATTTTACTGTTTATATGTGTATATATTTTTTACTTGTAATAAATAAATAAATAGGTAATTTGTGTTAGAGTTTAATATAAATTCTTTTAAAAACTCTTTTTATATCAATTGATAAATATTTTTTATTTTAATTATTCTTGTCTAATTAGATTTACTTTTATTAAAAAAAATCAAAATAAATAGATAAATAAGTAATTTGTGTTTTAAAAACTCTTCAAAAACCTCTTTTTGTATCAGTTAATAAATAATTTTTTATATTAATAATATTTGTCTAATTAGGTTTACTTTTATTAAAAAACTCATAATAAATTAATAAATTGGTAATTTGTGTTAGAGTTTTATAGAAACTCTTTAAATATATCTTTATCGATAGAGTTTTATTGATAATAAAATAGGTAATTTGTAATAGAGTTTTATTGAAATTATTTTATTTTCTTTAAATATATACTTGTCTAATTAGATTTTCTTTTATTAAAAATGGATAATAATAAATAGATAAATAGGTTAATTTAAATTTTATTATGTAGATTTTACTATATATATATATATATATATATATATATATATATATATATATATATATTTGCAAAAACTCTTTTCATATCATTTAATAAATATTGTTTTATGTAAATAAATAGTGAAACTCCTTACACATCTAATAATAGTATAGATAAAAACTCTTTTTATATAATTAATAAATAAATATAAAGTCTTGACAGAGCTTCTGTATTTTACTTTGGAATTCAACTCTTTTTATATCAATCAATTAATAAATATTTTTTTATATAAATAAATAAATACTAAACTCTTTGGCGGAAATCTGGATTTATAGAATTCTCAATTTCTGTACCCCTTCCTCCTTCCTCCATGCCTCTATTTATAAGTTTATTGGATGAATAGGATGATGACATGTGTCTTTTTCTGATAATGACATAATCATAATTGGGCCGGGCCGGTTATATTGTAATAATAATCCATAAAAAATAACTAAAAATAAGAGTTTTATATAGAATGTGATTAATTTTATTAGGTAATTTTTAGAGTTTTATAGAAACTATAATTATCCATAAAAAAATAACTAAAAATAAGAATTTTATATAGAATGTGATTGATTTTATTAAGTAATTTTTAAAGTTTTATAGAAGCTATTTTTACAAAAACTATTTTTATATGAATTAATAAATATTTTTTATATAAATAAATAAATACTGAAACACTAAAACACTCTGCACATTTAATAATGATATATATATATATATACACACCTGCGTGTATTGACAATGAACATTGTGCATAAGGGTTTGTTTGGGTGATGATGGTAACACAAGGGGCATTATTGTCTTTTCATGATCATTTGGGCATTATGGTCATTAAAGTAATACTGTGTGTCACATGATCACTTTAACTCCAAAATCTAACTGAAATCTCACCAGAGGGGGTAAACTGTAATAAAAATGCATAATTCAGCGAGTTAGTTGCAATTTTAGTAGTTCAGGGGTTAGTTGGTGATTCTCCAATAATTCAGGTGATTTTTTTTGGCATTTTACCCTAAAATGAAAGCTGTCTACTTATTAAATAATGGTCTGCGAATCTAGCAATTCGGTACGTCCAGTTTTGTCGGACCTATGGGGTAGGTAGTTACTTTATTCTCGTCTCTTATCCCGATTAGGGTTTAATTATGCTTTCGGGTGTCTCGTTCTCTGCCCATTAGGGTAAATACGGTTCATAATACACCCCCAAAAATGGTGAGACGTCGAAAAGCCTCCAATAACCATCCTGAGTTTTTCAAAGTTTATTTTCCCGAGAAGAGCTCTCAGCAACTGGTAATATTCTCTCTCTCTCTCTTATTTTCTTTATTTATTTTTTTTCTTCTATAGTCTATATATCTAATCATCACCAAGTTAGTGCATCTGTTGAGAGACCAGATTAATCATCACCAAGTTAGTGCAACTTTTGAGAGACCAGATTAATCATCACGAAGTTGTTCTGTTTTGGTTGCCTGGAAACGAGAGTAAAAGAAAACAGAAAAAGATTGGAACTTCATATAGGCTGACCTGGTAAAAAAAAAAAAATCATCAATTCGAAACGTTTATTTATTTATTTCTTCACAAACCCACCTAACTCATATAATACTGGTGTCGACACCCTCGTATTCTGAGCTCGCACTGTGTGTGACTTGGGTTATACATAGTCGTCTCCAAAGACGACTAACATCTCTCGCTAGTTCTAGGCTTCTAGCACGACTAGCGAACTTTTGTGTCACAATGTTTGCCTCTCTAAGACTTAACAATACGAACAACAGAACACATGCATTATTTGCAATAGAGATCGCACATCTCGAAATAATATTTTGGAGAATGAAAGGAGTTTTCATTCTATTATTCACTGCCAGAGCAATGCTTCTAGCGTCCGTTTCAATGACCACCCGTTGTAGACCCACTGTCGAACAAGCACGACACTTCTACTTGACAGTCACGAACGGAGCTTCCCAATAACTTGTTCTCTCAACCCGACCATACCCAACATTTACACCATTTGGTTGGTCTACTAAAACATCAAAAAATTCATAGAAACTTTACACTGCACAACAGCTACAATTCTGCTCTCCTCCCATACATTGTTATGAATTACAAACTCATTACGTGCTTTCCAAAGTGCCCAACATTGGTATGCAGTCAACCCCAAACCGATATCCACATCAGTCCACCAGTGTTGAAATGATGAAGATCACAAATTCAAACAACCCAATCTTGTCGGGGATTCACATCAGTTTTGTGTCGGCTGAGTTTTTTATACCATGCCAAGCCTAGGATGAGTTATTTTTGAGCAGACTCCCAATAATTCGGCACAATTTTTAAGGACACAAACTGATGTATTCTTGGTAAAAGATATTGCTGATGTTTCAAAGTTGATTGGTTGTCTTGAAGCTCATTCGTATGTTTGCGACACCCTCTTCAAATTCTGAATCTCAAAAAAAAAATTGCTTTGCAAAATAAAAACTAGTTGTTTGCAAAAAAAGAAAAAATGGATGTGAAATAGGAGGACAATATCGATCTACTAATTTGAACACCAGAGAGCATTCTTTGTTGCATTGCCTGTTGAAGGGACCATGATAATCCCTCCGCACATATTAAGAACACGAAAGGAGATAATGGATCTCCTTGTCGGAGACCCCGTGATGGTTTAAAAAAAACCATTAGGAATACTATTAATAACAACAGAAATATGTTACCGAAGAAACACATTCCACAATCAATCTAATCCAATGCTAATGAAACCCCAAACGATTAAGCATAGCCTTTAGAAAGCCCCACTCTACTTTGTCATAGGCCTTGTTCATGTCTAATTTGATAGCTAAGGATCCCTCTTTCCCTTTCCGTTTATTTTTCATTAAATGTAAAATTCTGTGAGCTATAAGAATGCTATCTGAAATGTTGCAGCCCGAGACAAATGCAGTTTGATTTTCTCCTATAATATTCCTTATAATTGGTCGCAAACATTGAGAGGACCTTGGAAATAGTTTTGTATAAAACATTACAGAGAGAAATTGACCGAAATTGGGTAACTAATGTTGGGTTTTAAATTTGGGGTTAAAGTAATATTAGTATGGTTAATGCTTTTTAGGATGTGTCTAGAATACATGAAACTCTTAACTACTTCAACTATATCATTTTTTTATCACTGACCAAAAGTTTAGAAAACGAGTTAAAGAGACATTTGATTTTGAGAAAACAATCTTTAAAGTCGGCCCCATTGGCCTACTTGGTTCAGTTTTAACTGTATAAAAATTTGTTTGATTGAGAATTATGATAGTTTAGTTTTAAAAAAGGTATGTTTACGGAGATTTGTATTTTATAATTATTATTTGAAAACAATGGACTTGACAACTGTTTTTTTAATGAGAAACCAAGTAGGCCCTATGTTTTTAGTTATAATTGGTTTTTGAGAGAACAATCTTTTAAACAGGCCCTATGTTTTCAGTTTTATGTTATTTGCCATAGAAAGTACTCGATGCTACTGTTTCTTACTGGGGAGGTTAGTATAATTACTGAAAATACAAGGAAGGTCTATGTAATTTTGTGTAACATTAGCGGAGCTAAATGTAATTTATCACCTACAACAACAACCAGGCCTTTTCCCAATTACTTGGGATCGGTTATATGAATCCTATGATTCCATTCCGCTCTATTTAAGGTCATAGCCTCAGTCAAGGTCAATGTAATTTACCCTACATTTTAAATTTCTCTTCACTCGTCACATTTTAGTAAGTCAAGTCACTGTTGATTTAAATTTAGATCCTTAGTAAAAATTTTCTTTTTAATTGATAACTAATTGTGAGTTACCAAACGTGATAGATTATGAAACTGAGTTGTTGCTTAAGGAGTTTCTGAACATTTTTAAATCTGTTGATAAATAAGTGGTGTGTCCTTAAACCAAATCATGCAAAAGTGTGTAGTGTGGCCAAGTTTAAATTTAGAAATTGCCACTACCACTTCTAACTATAAATATAGCTAGGGTGAGTAGGGATCGTCCCAAAGGAAAGGAGGTGTATTTGTGATGGAAATTAATATCGGATTAGTAGGTCGAGTGATCAAAGATTGTTGGTGATTGATTAATTAAATTACAATGCAATTAAAAATTAATGCAAGTAAAAAGAGAGCAATCTAGAAAGTAGGGAAAACATATAGGAGAGAGGTCTTGGGGCTTAGAGTCACCATTAAGCTTCACTTTATCAAACATTAGCAATTGTACATTAATGGGAAAATTTAAATTGTAACTTGTGTGTGTGACATCAATTGAAACTAAGCATGGATGGCAAATAAGTATAGATTGTCTAGCCAATTTTAATGAAAAGCACAACCTATCAAATAAGACCAAAATCCATTCAATTAATGCACACACAAACATCTAGAGACATACACTCTTTGCATTCACAAGTATAGAACATCAAGAAATAAGAATGGATTGTTCACCTACCTAAGAAATTAAAACAACTACATTACAACTAGGCTAGAGACATGAAATTAAACTAATTAAACTAGAGATGTGATACAATCCATCAAGAAACAAGTGTGAACCATCAAATAAATCATAAGAGTGTTCCATTAAGCACCATGCCTTGACCACCACTAGATTAACACCATCAACACACATAGACATGCATTAATTTCATTGAATCTAGAGATAAAAACATGAACATCAATTCTAGCATACATAGACATATGACTAGAGCCAAATGATCAATTGAAAGCATTAATCCACACAAATTAAGTAGAAATCATAAGATCTATATTTATTCATGGTCAAAACATCTATTACAATTAAAATCCCCAAAAATACACAAAAGCTAGGTTTGAGAAGCAAGCCTAGGGTCTATCTCTAGCCCCAAGAGAAGGATTTAGCCACTCATTGTAGTAGACATGGAACCCTCAAGGGCTAGCTTGGAGGTTTGCATCATCATCTTCATCCTTACTTTCTTCCCAAAACCCTAGTTCTAGAGAGAATTTTTTTTTTTTTTTTTTTTTTTTTTTTTTTTTTTTCTATTTTCTAATGTCTATCTCTATCTATGATTGATACAATAATTGTTCAATAAATCAATTACACACTCCTTTGAGTAAGGACCAAGTCAGAATTACAGCCTCTGATTGGAGAAAATTCGCAACTACACAAGTTAGGTAGAAATCGGAGCACTCGGGAATTAGACAGCTCATTGCCAGCAGGCATTTCGATCGATCGAAGATTTTCGATCAATCAAACACTTAGCTTCGATCGATCGAAGCTGACGTGGCATCAAAAATATCTTCCAGGCCTTATCCAATTGGCTGAGCTGGCATCGCCTCATTTCGATTGATTATAGACCTCTTCGATCGATCGGGACTCCCCTTCGATCGATCGAAGTTCCTTTGGTGTATATTTCTTGGCTTCTTTCGAACTTTGTTCCTTTCGAACTTTGCTCCTTAGTTCCAAAACTGAGTTAAATGGCTCTTGTTAGCCTGTTTGAACTTTATTAACCTGAAATAGGCAAAAACATAAATAAGTATCCAAAACATGAAAGTAAGATAGATGAATGGACTAAAATACCCTAACTTAGGTGCTAAAACGCGTCACATTTTAGCACTTATCAATAAGGTCTAAGCAACTACTTTAGTTATAATTTTTCTACATTCCATGACAGAATAGAATGAAGGCAAAACTTTTATGAAAATTTTTAATTCTCTGTTGTGAATTATATGCCTCCAACGTGCACAATTTGTCATGCTCTCCTATTAGAGGAAGACATGTTATCTGCAAATCATTTAATAGGATCACAAACCCACCGAAGCTGTAGTGAAAACAAGTCTTCATAAGGAATTTGTCACTGTTTATGGACTCGAACCTGGGTGATCTATCCATCATCCGGATGAAACTTGGGTGAAACTAAGTGAAGGTCCGGATCGACAGATGTTAAAGAATCAATGTATGAGTTGTGGTTAGGGGTGCAATACCACTCGAACCCTAAGCTAGCTAGTTCTCTCCAAAATGCATTGAGGCACAATAGTTGGCTGGACATTTAGGAGTAAAGCACTGTTTTGGTGCGGGGTGCGAGAGCATTACCAAATCGATGCAAACTCTAAATACTAGATATGACCTCAAAATAAAATAACAGGTTAGCTAGTGAGACGATGGGGATAAGCTTCATCATTGAGAGGGAAACAGCCTAGATCACCAGCTAAGGCCCCTAAATGACCGGTCAATGATAAAGGAGGTAGGGGTGCAGATACAGCCAGGAGGTTTGCTAAGAAGCAGCCACTCTTGAAAGAGTGCGTAATATCTTATTTATGGAGCACTCTTGCGCTGAAGATGAACGGGGCTAAACGATCTGCCGAACTGTGGGATGTAAAGACACATTGGTAGGGGAGCGTTCCACCTAGAGGGAAGCACTAGTGTAAGCAATGGTGGACGAAGCAGGAGTGAGAATGTCGGCTTGAGTAACGCAAACATTGGTGAGAATCCAATGCCCAGAAAACCTAACCTCTACACAAATTAGTGACTAGTGAGAGAAATGGCAGTTTTTTTCTGCTATTTGGGGCTCTATATCTTTGCTTTGTTAATTTATTTCATATCCTATCAGATTTTATTTCAGTAAAATTACTCTTCCTTCAGTTGTTGGTTCCAATATTTGGATTTCCAGAAATACAGATTAAAAATATGATGCATTAGACTAACCCTTATTGAGGTTTTGTTTGCTCTGGTCCCAATTTTTTTACGTATAAGATTTAAAACATTAATTTCTTTCCTTTTCCTGTTTTCCGATCAACCAAATGGGAGCGGAGCACCTCTTTTGTCGGAAGAGAAACAGGCCCATGTTTGTTGTATCCTACTTTCTTATTTACAGAAAATTGGTTGAGTACGATGGAAAAAATTAAAATGTGAATTATAGGTAGAAGTATTTCCTAGTTGCAATATGAATAATTTATCTGCTCTTTGAATTTGTAACCAGCAAAGTTAAATATCTCATTTTTGCAGTGTGTGCCACCAGCTTTTATCAAGCATTTTAATGGAACAATACCAACTAAGGCCATCCTTAAAGATCTCAGTGGGAAATGTTGGCATGTGGAGATGGAAGATGTTGAAAATGGTGTCTTTATTAAGAATGGCTGGCAATGCTTTGTGAATCATTATTCTGTAGAGCTCGGAGACTTCTTAGTTTTTAGATACAATGGAAATTCTTTATTTAATGTTAGAATATATGGTAGGAACGGATGTGGGAAGGAAGATTCTTTAGCTATTGAGAAGACTCTCACATGTGTTAAGATTGAAGAAGAAACAGAAGCAGAGCGGACTTTTCCCAAGCACACTAACGTTCGCAAGAGAAAGTATTCCGAAATAAGCTGCAAAAGATCTCCAAGATCAATAGGTGAGTTGTTTCAAATTAGTTTCGTTGTTGACATTTTGCATTTTTCCTTTTATATATCTAATGTACCTTTACAGGTTTACTTGGACCAATTCAGCTTAGGCCCCGAAGAATTGCTTCCGAAAGCATTCAAGAGCAGAAGGTCTCTGAAACAGCAAAGACGACCTTACCAAAAAATCCTTATTTTATTGCAACTTTTCGTACGTCAAGGACATACGCTCTGGTGAGTACGGTTCTTATACTGGACAGATTACTTTATTTAGTTTCAAATTTAACTTGGTTAAGAATGTCTTCCTTTATTCTTTTTTTTTTTTTTTTTTTAAAGTTCAATATTCATTGTTAGTCCGATCCCCTAGTGCAATAATGTTTTTGGTCCTTAACCATATATGGTCATCACTTATAATATTACAAAAATTATAGATAATTTAGTTGGGAGATCTGAGTCATCAGACCATTGATATATGTTAAATGAGAGGACGCTGAAGGGAAAATGATGATATAGGAAAACGAGAATTTCTTGGGTGGAGATGGTAGATGGCACCATCTCTGAGTTCATCAGCATCTGGTTCCTCATATTACTTTCTGGAAGTATAGGTTGATTCAGCAATCAAATGCTTTACTGTTTTCCAAGATTTTAAGCTAGTATCAAGGCTTGAAAGGAGGTTCAGGGGAAAGATGTTTGCAGAGAAGGTCATTTGAATTAGCTTGGAATAATAATTATTATATAAAGGAGTAAGCACGTTTTTGACAAACTACAGGTCTTCTAGGTCATCAAAAGTGTTCTTTATCAATGCATGGGCTTGTGAACTTTTTCTGGTCTCTGTTTTTAAAAGTTGCAAATTCGGATTTTCACTTCGTCCACATGACAAAAACTCAGAAGGTCATGTTGCTGGAGAAAACCCTCCATGCATGTTACATTTTTAACCAGTAGCCTGTAGGTCCATGCCATTTCCTGAACAAATAGTAGGAGAAACATATTGTGTGGTCGTCATTGAGAAAACTAATTAAGGCAAAGTCATTTCCTGAACAAATAAGAGCAGGAACATACTGTGTGGTTGTTATTGAGAAAACTAATTAAGGTAAAATAAAAGAGATATGACACGATATCGACACGATGAATCTAAAAAAATAGGATATAGATATGGTAGGACATCCAAGTTTTTTTCCCATGATTTTAAAGTCGAGGATAAAATTGCGCCTGCTCTATCTAATAAATTATAACCATTTTCATTTCTCATTAGACATCTAGACCTTTTACATGTGGCCATTCTTGATTTTCTCGATGATGGTACTGGATACAATCATGTAAAAGCTACCAATTAGGGGTTCAAGCTTACCTCTCCTATTTTTGTGTAAAGTTGGGTGGCAGTAAACATTTTTTTATTGATTTAATAAAAATAATTTTAGGGATTGCTATCTTGTGTGTGTTTATTATTTAAAGATCATTTCAGGGAATTCCAGACATTTTATTCTCATCTTGATTGATATTACTCTTACCTTTCATGTTTGTCAGTTGATGTGAAATCATTTTATATGTATCTTAACGAACCCAGAAGAAATAAATGCATCTACTGATATTAAGCCCCTCTCTATTTTGATGTAATGTTTCAACAAAGGCTCAAACCCCCCGAGATATTACAGAATAGAGTTGATTATTGGAGTTTGTATATGTTATCCACTCTGATAGTTGAATTCCAATTTCATCATGCTATAATGTATATTATTATTTGGAATGTTAATTTGCACAGTACAGATTATGTTCCAAGGAGCTTGAACAATTAGGGATGGCAACGGGGCGGAGTTTAGGCGGGTTTGCTAAACCTTACTCCGCCCCGTTAGATAATTCGTCATACCAACTCCACTCAAACTCCTGGATGGGTTTATAATTGGTATACCATCTCTGCTCCTATTCCGGCAAATAAAGTACCGACTCCGCCTCGCATACTCCGTTTAATTGCGGGACGAGGTGGGTTATACCACTTTCATTATTTAGTAAAATAAAACTAGCCCAAAGTACTCAAATTGAGCTAATAAATAAATTGACCCAACTTTAAAATTACTAAGTAGTGAATATTTAATATATTAACGGACACTTCCAGTAAAGTAATAAGGTCTTAAAAATATTAAATATATATTTATAAAATCTTTTAAAGGTACATATATAATCGGGGTGGGGGCGGAAACCCGAGGGTTAGAGGAAATTACCATTCCTAAACAATAGTTGCTTTGATAATAAGATGTGAACACCTAAAGTATCCCCTTAATGATTCCGTTGATCAGTATATTTGAATTACAAAGTTATTTTCATTTTTAGATGGAAGAATCCGTTGTTAAACCAAGTACAGTTGATTGAATTTTGATTCTATTATTGCAGTATATTTCACGGTAGAAAACCTATTAGGAGGTTTCAGTTATGAATTTGAAATTACAATGGTTAGCCACACCTGGTGTGGTTGTTTTCTGTCTGTATTGTTATTGTGCTTTTCTAAACAAGATTTACTTATTGTTAACATTATATGTGGCCACAGAACATTCCTAAATGCTTGGTGAACAATAATAATATTAACATCAAGCCACAAATGGTGTTCCGTGATCAGAATCAGAAGTCGTGGCCTGTGAGAGTTGTTTCAAGGAAGGATGGTCGGGTGGATTTTGCCCAAGGGTTCAGGAAATTTTTGAAGGATAACAGCCTCAGGTTAAATGACAAGTGCATATTTGAGTTCTTTCCTGGTGGAGGAAGAAGCAGCAGCAAAGAAATTCAGGTACAAATTATCCGTGCAGGGGCAAGAACTCAAAAAAAGTCCATAAGAAGAAGAGTCTGTGAATTTGGGGCATGAACGTGAAAATTTGAACTTAACTTTTCACTTGAATTGAGCAAAATCTATGACATGATTAGGATTTTTGGTTTTTGGACTTGAAACCTCCTTGCATTATATGTATGTATTTTCCTTTTGTAATCACTACAGAACTTACTAATCCTTATATTTGGTCCAGATTAGGAGCAACTTTTAGTCTCTCCTGAAATTTAGTTTCTCAATTCCCATACTTTGAAGTAAAGTTGTTGGGGGACTTTGTAGGCATAACCAATATTGTTTATGTATATTGACTTGCAACATGGCAAAGACCATTCTTGGGAGCCTGGACCACTACACAAATGGTTCAAATAGAGCACAGTGAAGATCCTACAATATATGTTTAAATTGTGTGCTAAAAGTCTTAACTAACTTCTTCTTCTTTCCTTTTTTTTTTTTTTTTTTTTTGTCATTCAAAGGCACATAGGCCTAAAACCAAGATGGCAGTACAGGGGCACAAAGCCAAGCCAGAAAAGGCATACAAATCTTGAAGCAAAGCAAATAAATTAAGAACAGACTTCAGATTTGTGGAGTAAACAGAGCCCAACACTCTGTAAATGAAACCACCATGGGAGAACGCAGCAAACTAGAGATACCGAAAGGTCTGGCCATCAGTACGGCAACTGTTTCAAAGCTATAACCACAAGGCGCTCCGACACACAAAACTCCGCACAAGATCCAATCAAGGAGAAAAAGATCAAATCTAGGCAGGGAAAACCCAAACTGGCCTAGATCAAAGAACTAGCCGGAGAAAAACAACATATTTGCCCAGGCGAGCCGAAAACGAAACAAATATGAGCAGATCTAGTCGAACAAAAACAAAAACAAAAACGGCGTAAAAAACACCCACGAAGCACACTTATTCGAACACGCCGAATTTATTGCTACCATGGGAGACAAGCTAGCAACTCCCCACTCCCATGGAAGGGAGCAGGGAGTGCAGAAGGAAGAAAATGAAGGCTAGTGTAGAGAGAGCAAGGTAGAGAGAGATGAAAGCGTTTTTTGTCTGTGGAATTTCTGAAATTTGAGTTTCGATATATTTATGAATTAATAATATTACTTTATAAAGTTAACAATTGCTTGGTTGCGAAGGTCAGTAAATAAGGCCAGATATATACGCGTACGCGCGTGTGGAAATCAGCTTAGACAAACTGAACCTCATTTGCTACTGCCACTTCCAACTCTTAACTTATATTTCCACGTGTCTTCCTTCTACAGAGGCGAGATTGATACTATCCCTGATCTCAATTTGATGACCATTTGGGGCCTAGTACCAACGTTACACGTCTTATACCAGACCGTGCTCACTCTAGGTCAAGTTAGCACCGGATTCGCGATACCCTGTCCATTTCTAAATTCCTCTTTCCCGTGCATTCTAAGATGGCTTACTTTCAATCTCATTCCACTTCCTTACCATTCTAAAATGGCCAATATCCTTCTCATTCAAATTTCCCACCATGCCATGCATATGATCATTTTCATCAATTTCATTAGCATAATAACAGTGGCACAAGCATGACAATTTCTATTACATGAATACAAGCATAACATTCTCTAGAATTCAAGCACAAGCATGGCATTTTATTGAAACCAACCAACAGCATGCTCATTATAGTATTTCATATCATCTCAATTCATGCTAACGTTTACAATTTAAGTAACTTTGCACTAAAACCATGTCATACACCTCTTTAGCAAAGAAAGAAACACACAAGTATGCTCATTATAGTATTTCATATCATCTCAATTCATGCTAACATTTACAATTTAAGTAACTTTGCACTAAAACCATGTCATACACCTCTTTAGCAAAGAAAGAAACACATTTCACCTCAATTACTAGCATGATTTCTTAATATAACACATAGTCATTGCAATTCACATTTTCACATCCAAGAATGAATTTTAAATAAATCAAAGCAAGGATGTTCAATGAAAGGCAAAGTTTTAGGCATTGGAAATCCCTACTTCAATGGAGCAAGCCAAACAATCCCCTAAGCCAAGCCAAATTTTGAAATCCTCCTAGTTCTTGCAATATTGGTCTCAAATGGAAGTCCTTGCCATACCCTCTAACTTCTCCATCTATGGCTCCACCAAAATCCTACTCTAAACTTCCCAAAATGAAATTTAAAGCATGGAAGAAGGGAGGAGGTTGGCTTGTCTTGTAAATGACCCCATGGTCCAAAGTATGCCACTTATCAACATTTGAGTGGATACTAACTTTTGGTAAAGTTACCCCCTTGCCCTTACTCATCCATTGCAATACCATTTACATTCCCAAAATATCTACCTCAATGTATAGATATAGATGTATGTATATGTGTGTGAAAAGACCACAATGCCCCTCAATGTAAATGATAAAAGCAGGAGAAATTCCTGACCCCAGAATCGTCCCGACTTCCAAAAAATTCTAAAATTAATCCTGTCACTTCTAATTGGCTTAAAATAAATAAAAATAAATTTCTAAAACTCTTGGATAGAGAAATGACCTAAATAGCCCTCAGGCCCGCATGGCACGTAAAACGATGTATGAAAAATAAATAATATAAAATTTCAAAAAAATCTAAAAAATCTGATACATTACAATCTACCCTCCTTAAATAGATTTTGTACTCGAAATCTATCCTCCTTAAGAAGAAGGCCCACAACCGTTCACCTTCTCGAAGAACACCTCACAAAAATCGCAAAACTATGAGCTCACAAACCTTATTGCCTTTGACATCGGATGTTAATAGCTCATATACTACTGCCACTAGCAGCACAATGCTTACCACCCTATGTGGGTACTCATCACACAACATCCTACCACGTAAACCATTAGATTCTATACCTAGCTTAAAATCGACATCGACACACTTTACACATCCACATAGAACTCTGAGGCTCACAAGAAAAATGGTCATGAGACCACTGAACACGACGACATCCAACCTTAGCTTATCTTTTCAAGGATACGCAAAACCTAAGAAAAGGAATCCCGACTACCACATACTAAGTCCTAATCCAAGTCAACACATCTCAGACAAATCACACACATTCCACCTAATACATAGCTACACCATCACATAATCGTACAAGTGATTACCAACAACATTATCCAATAATCTTCCAACAACTGTATAAACACAAGTTACTCAAACCATAAGGTGTATTATCAAGTACTCAGGACACAAATCCCTAAAACTTAACTCAAGAATTAAACACGATAAACTGGAATCAAAGTTGTATGATTCATATCTCAAAACTGATTTACAAGGCAGGTATTTATACAATTTGCAAGGGAAAGAAAAAAAAGGAAGGAAATAACTGATTGTTAATTTCTAGAAATAGACAAATCTCCTAAAATCATGTACAGCTATAAACAAATCAAAGATTCCCTATAAATACAAATCGTCAACAACTAGCAAATCTGATCATATCATCAACAGATACGATTCTATTTAATTCAAAATATTTTCCAACACTCTCCTTCAAGCTAGTTTGAAGATATCTTCCATAGCCAGCTTGCCCATTAAAATTTCAAATTATTTCTTTGGAAGTCCCTTTGTGAGTATGTCCGTAATTTGTTCACCAGTAGGAATGTCAGGCATACATATCTGTCCACTCTCCAGCTTTTCTTTTATAAAGTATTTATCAACTTCAATATGCTTTGTTCTATTATGAAGTACTGGATTGTGGGCAATAGAAATAGCAGTTTTGTTGTCACAATACACGTTAATAAGTAGTGGATTAAAGATCTTCAATTCTTCTAGAATTCTTTTAATCCACAATACTTCACAAATTCCATGAGCAAAAGCCTTAAATTCAGCCTCTGCACTACTTCTAGCTACCACATTTTGCTTCTTGTTGCACCAAGTGACCAAGTTTCCTCCAACAAAGCTGCAATAGCTAGAGGTTGACTTTCTATCTATTACACTCCCAGCCCAGTCTACATCAGTAAGTACTTTCACTTGAAGATGCCCATGGTTCTCAAACAATAGGCCTTTACCTAGAGTTCCTTTCAAGTATCTTAAAATTTTGTGAACAACATCAAAATGCTCCTGTCCAGGAGAATGCATGAATTAACTTACCATATTGACCGCAAAAGCTATATTAGAACGTGTATGTGAGAGATATATCAGTCTTCCAACCAGTCGTTGGAATTGATCTCTATTGATCACCACTTCAGGCTTGGCCGATTATAGCTTTAAATTAGAATCTATAGGTGTCTCAGCTGTTTTACACCCTGATAGACTTGTTTCCCCAAGTAAGTCAAGCACGTACTTCCGTTGTGAAACAAAGATCCCTTTCTTCGACCTCGCGAACTCTATACCAAGAAAATACTTCAAGGTGCCTAGATCTTTGATTTCGAATTCATTGGCAAGTGCCTTCTTTAATATCTCGAGTTCAATACTATCATCCTCTGTTAAGATTATATCATCAACGTAATCAATTAGAATAGCAACATGTCCTTCATTTGAGTGTCTGTAGAACATAGAGTGATCGACTTGGCCCTGACCATAACCAAGACTCTTCACAACTTTTCCAAAGCGTTTGAACCAGGCTATAGGAGATTGTTTGAGTCCATATAGAGATTTTTTTAATCTACATAGTTTATTCTCACCCAGTTCACCTTGGAATCCAGGTGGCAGTTCCATAAACATTTCTTTTTCCAAGTCCCCATTTAAGAAATCATTCTTCACGTCTAACTGGTGTAACCGCTAGTTAGACTGTACAGCCAAGGATAATAAAACTCGAATTGAGTTTATATTGGCCATTAGTATGAAAGTCTCCTGGTAGTCTATTCCATAAGTCTGTGTAAACCCTTTAGCTACAAGCCTCGCCTTGTATCTCTCTACACTGCAATTAGCTTTGTATTTAATAGTAAACACCCATTTGCATCCCACAGTCTTTTTTTCTTTTGGTAAATCAACAATCTCCCAAGTGCCAATGTTTTGAATAGCATTCATCTCTTCTAGAATTGTGAATTTCCAATCCGAATAATT